CCCTAACGCGTCTAAACACATACTGTCCCTAGCTCACTATCTCAAGTGACACTAGACTACTCACCCTTCCCTCAGGATGAGGGTCCCTCCCCTGCAGCAGCCTTCCTTCTGGCTCTGCCCTCTGGGAGGAAGAACAGCTTCTGCTCTGGCACCAGCCCTTTTGCTCCCCACCCCTCTTCTTCCCTATTGGTCAATTTTGGCTCCAAAACCTCTCAGGGGCTTCTGGGAGTTGTAGGCCCAGCCTCACCTACTGCTAGCCAGGCTCCCTGGGCCCAGTAGGCCTCTGGTGGCACAGCCCAGACCATGACACACGTCGATTCTGGTTCTGGCACGTGGGCTCCGTGAGCGGTCAGTGAGGGCCATGTTAAGAAAACCCCGTGCTGGGTTATGTGCCGCGGTTACAGAGGAAGTCCGAGGCGATTTCTACTCCTCCCCTTCTGGAGTGATTCAAGCCAACACCTTCCCTTCACAACACACACAAAAATAAGTCTCTGGTCTCTTCTTTCAAAGGGCTCAGTGGTTTGGCGGATAAGGCGTGGAACATAACAAGTTGCCAGTTATTTAAAGCAAGGAATGGCAGAACTCTGCTTTAGCACAGTCACAGTTTCACACACCCACGGCTTGCCTGCGCGGACAGGGTGCTTCTGTCGGAGAGAAGGGATGGTTTCCGCTGGGACTCCTCCTTCAGCCCAAGCCTCTCGCAGCCTGCTGGAACGGTGCCGCCAGGCTTGTCTCTTGGGTTCCTTCCCCCCGCAGGGTCCTAACCGGCTGTCCCCCTTTGGGAATCCAGGACACACACACACACACACACACACACCCTGGCTGCAGCAGTCCTGCCTCTCCACTGGCCCCAGGGCCACGCAAGTGCCTCTCCCACGGAGGCCCTGAGAGCTCTTTTTCTCTCTCAGCCACCTCACTACTCTCCTGGTAGGGCCCCCCCCCCTCCAGTTTCGCTTTCACAAACATCAAATAATGCACTTTCAATCCACTTTGCAGCTGGATTTTTTCTATGTGAAAGGGCAAGATCCAGTTGCAACGGTCACTGGACTGAAGCGGCATTGTTCAGCATGTGTGAAAGTGCCCCCCCATCTCTTCCCCCCAAAACCCCCTTTGACAGACTTTCCCTCCACTTTGCCCTCCACCCCCCAGCCTCTCATTGGCTGATGCCACTGCATATTTTGCATCCTCCCCCTGCAGGCAGGGATTGGCTGAGATGCGGAGGGGGGGGTTTGCCCCACAGAAGTGCAGAGGCAGAGCTCTCCTGCCCCAGCATGCAGCACTTTTCCGCAGGAGCCCTCAGGGCTAACGCTGGCATCATCGCAGGCCCTCTGCCTGCCACCTGGGGGCTCTAGAGAGAGTCTGTGGTCCTCCGAGGCCAGGCGTTGGCAGCAGCAGCGTGGACAATTTTAAGTCTGCAGGTAGCCAATCGGGAGGCTCCTCTGAGCAGCCAATGATGAAGCCCCTGCATGCCTGGGGCACCCGGCAAGCCCCCCCCCCCCGCTGGATCAGAGGGCAGAAGAATCTGGGGCCTCTCCCGACCCCCATCAGTGCCAGAGGCTGCTACTGCTTCCACGCCAGACCCCTTCCCATCCCGAATGGTGCATCCTATACATAAATGCAGGGAAAGCACACCCAGGGGTCGTTTCGTAGAAAAAGAGGTGCAGGAGCTCATTAGCATGACTTATTTGCATATGCCACACCCCCTGACATCGCTGGAAGTGTGTCAGAAGGCAACACCCACCGCTCAGGCTCCACTGGACTCTTTTGGATGGCTAGCTATTGGGGGGGGGGAGGTGCAGATCTGTCCTCACAGAGGAGGGAGCAGGGGGTGGGGCTTGTTGCATGTGCCCGCCCCCTGGGCTCTTTACTGCCGGAGCTCCGCTCCTGTGCGCTCCTGCAGGAAATGACCCCTGAGCACACCCCTCGCCTGCCAGGCCTGGGTGCCCACACAGGAGCATGACACCTCTGGAGCTGGCCTGCCTCTCCCTTGCCAAGAGGGCCAGCCTCTCTTCCTGAGGTGGGCTTGGAATGCCCCTCTCTGCACACACCTGCCAGGGCCCTGGACGTCCTGCCACTGGTGGGCTGATTCTCTTTGGTCTTGTTTCATTTCCCCACAACAAAATGGTCAGAGCAGTCAAACAGTCATGGGGGGTGGGGTTAAGGTGCAAAAGAGTGGTATGGCATGTTTGGAATGGTTGCATCACTAGCTTCCAGATCTATCATTAAACTCACCAGAGATAAAGTGGACACAAAACAGTAGAAGCTTTAGTTGTTGTAAAAAAGCCTTCACCAGGGTGCCGGTGGGGGCCCCCCCCCCCCCCCCGTATCAACGTGTGCCCATAGTTAGGATCGAAACTGGTGATTAGCACCCAAGAAACTGTAAACCGCCCAGAGACCCCTACGGGGGTTTGGGCGGTATATCAAGTCGAAGGATAAATAAATAAATAAAAATAAGTAGATTTCCTGTGCCATATGGCCATGTTCTTGGAGTCAGCCCAGCAGCGGCCCCACCTCATTTCCTGAGGCTGCGCGTGGAGGGCCAGAGAGCCACTTGCGCTCGTGTGCGGACGGGAGGTGAGTGCCGTGGGGAAGCACAGAAGCCGCCCCCCCCCCCCCCGGACGGGGGGGAGGGGGCAGAGGTCCATCTGGGGCACACAGCTAAACCCCCCCCCCTCACCGTGAAGCAGGTGCCCTGCAAACTGTTGGCAGAATTTAAATATGCCAAGGAGCAGAACTCAAGCGGCTGGAAGAATAAAGAGTTTTATTTAGAAGAGAAACAGCTGTGTAGAGAGGAGAGGAGAGAGAAGGTTCCAGCTGTCTAACCATCCAACCCTGTGAGGAGGAGCCACCAGGGAGGGGAGTGGGCTCAAAAAGAGGACGTCTCCAGTGAGGAGGCAGGAGGGGATCCTTTGGAAAGACCAGGAAGTCAAGTTCAAGGTGGTGGTATTGACCTTTAAAGCCCTGTGTGGTCTGGGACCAACATACCTGCAGGACCATCCCCCCCCCCCCCAAGAGCGTTACGCTCAGCAGATCGACACTCGCTGGTGGCCCCTCCCTGGCCATAAGGACTTCCACGGAGCCTCGACCAGAGCCAGCGCCTTTTCGGCCCTGGCTCCGGCCTGGTGGAGCCCTCTCCCAAGTAAGAGCAGGCCCCTGCAGGACTGGTTACAGTTCCGCTGGGCCTGTAAAACGGAGTTGTTCCGCTAGGTTTACCCTGTTGCCACCCGTGTGTGGTGGGCAGGGATGGGGGTGACAGGGGCCCCCGTAGCCGTAGAGCCATAGAGGCTTGGTGACTCCTAGGGCGTCACAGTCGAGTTGTGACGTTGCTTCTGGGGATCCCCCAGAAGTGACCGTGTGCCCTTGGAGTGTGATGCCATCTATCCAGCCAGTTCTCCCCCCCAACACCAACACCACCTTGCCAAGAGGCAGCAGAACACAAGAACATCAGAGAAGCCAGTGTTGGATCAGGCCAATGGCCCCTCCAGTCCAACACTCTGTGTCACACAGTGGCCAGAAATACCAGGTGCCCTCAGGAGGTCCAGCAGTGGGGCCAGATGACACTAGAAGCCCTCCCACTGTTGCCCCTGCCAAGCACCAAGAAGACAGAGCATCCCTTGTCCCAGAGCCCCTAGCTATACCTTGTGGCTAACAGGGGCCACTGATGGACCTCTGCTCCATATGCTTATCTAATTCCATTTTGAAGCCGTCCATGCTTGTAGCCGCCACCACTTCCTGTGGCAGTGAATTCCAAGTGTGAATCCCTCTTTGGGTGAAGAAGGACTTCCTTTTATCCGTTCTAACCCGACCGCTCAGCAATTTCATGGAGTGCCCACGAGGAGTTCTTGCATTGTGAGAAAGGGAGGAAAGGACCTCTCTCTCTCTCTACCTGCTCTATCCCATGCATAACCTTATAAACCTCGATCACGTCACCCCTCAGCCGTCGTTTCTCCGAGCGCTCTAGCCGTTCTTCTTTCTAGGGAAAGTGTTCCATCCCTTTTATCGTTTCCCCAAGGCTACCGTATCCCTTTTCGAGAGAGGCTGGGAGGCCACCGCGGCGTGGCACGTCCCGTCAGGCTCCCGACGCCGACCTCCGTCCGGGAGGGGGCGCGAGCTCGCGGGCGGAGCCGCCTGGCCGCGCTCGCCCTCCGCCGCCTCCTTCCGCCGGGCCCGCGGCTCCTCCCACGAGCCGGCGAGTTCGAGGCCGGCGCCG